TTATATTTATTTATTTATTTATTTATTTATTTATTTATTTATTTATTTATTATTTGCTTGTTTGTTTGGGTGTTGAATTATCTCTGCTGGCTGCCGCCAGCGCGAGGCCTCAGCTTTTGATTTTTGTGTAAGGCGAATAGTAAGAGTTTGCTGCTGCAGAAACAAGTAATAATAATATATTTAATAATAATAAATAATAAATAATAATAATAATATTATTATTATTAATTATTATTTATTATTATTGTTTTTAGATTATTCTTGTTGTGGGGATGCGCGCTGTATTCTGCAGCTGCGCACTCGCGGCAGCAGCGCAGACCCATTTGCTGCTGCAGCAGCAGCAGCTGCTGCTGCTCTGCTGCTGCTGCGGCGGCTGCTGAAGCAGCAGCAGCAGCTGCTGCTGCTGCTGAAGCAGCAGCAGCAGCTGCTGCTGCTGCCCTCTTGTTTGGTACTACCGCTTCTGTTTGTTTGTTTGGGTTTTGTAAATAAATGAAAATCTGCCGCTGCTCGCTGAGCAAACGATGCAGAGTTCTTCACGACGAGGGTTTAGGGTTTAGGGTTTACGGTTTAGGGTTTAGGGTTTAGGGTTTAGGGTTTAGGCAGTTTAGAGGAACGAGGCGGGGTGTCTCGCGCGGCTGCCATATCCTCCCACGGGAATTTTGTGGCCGATCTGGAGAGCGAATTAAGGGTTTAGGGTTTAGGGTTTAGGGTTTGTGGAGACAAATTTAGCGTTCAAGGTACCTTTGGCTGCTGCTGCTGCTGCTGCTGCTGCTGCTGCTGCTGCTCTTCCGCCAGCACTCCTCGAGGTGGCGGCTCGACGGGCGGGTGGGGAATGGGCCCTGCGCCAGATTAGAGTTCAGGAATTAGGGTTTAGGGTTTAGGGTTTAGGGTTTAGGGTTTAGGGTTTAGGGTACCTGCAATGTAGGCCTTGCAGCGCACGCAACACTCGTTGGGCCCTTCGGTCGAGGGGATTTGGAAATGCGTCGCGGCTACGGTGCTGTTCCCGGGGACCTGCATTTAGGGTTTAGGGTTTAGGGTTTAGGGTTTAGGGTTTAGGGTTTCTTACGAAGACGGGCAGCGCCGCGTGGTACAGACAAAGCTCCCGCAGCCTTTCGGTGTCTTGACAGTTGCAGTGTTCAACTTGGAGAGGCAAAGAGTAGACGGGGGCCTTCTTGGGCGGGGTGTCTGTACATACACCGCAGTGAGCCACGGGGTTTCGGGAAAGAGTTCGGGATTTAGGGTTTGAGGTTTAGGGTTTAGGGTTTAGGGTTTAGGGTTTAGGGTTTGGGGTTTGCGCACAGCTGATTTGTGGGGGCTCCTCGGGCACGTAGGGAGAGGCAAGGGGTGCGCGGGGCACGAAGAGGTCGTCGGGTATGTCATAGAGAGGATCTGGAAAAGATCTTTTTAAAGAAAGGGTTTTGAGCAGCTTTTAAAAGTGCTTTTAGACAAAAAGTGCGAAATTAAAAGAATAGAAAAGCCGGGAGAGAAAACAAAAAAAGAATTAACAGAAATGGAGGCATTTCGGGGCCAAATGCGCAAACGGCCCGCGGCGCTGCGGTGTACGTACACCCCAAGACCCACCGAACTTCGGGCACTCTCTTGGAAAGGGATGGTCTTCGGAAAACGAAGTGTACTGAAAAGAGGACCAAATAAGGCGAAATAAAGTGAATTTGAATGAAATAAAGTGAATTAAAATGAAATAAAGTTAAATAAAATGATTAAAAAGGGAAATTAAGCAACAAAAGGACTTAATTGAATTAAAAGAGTTGAAATCACCAGTGGGGGAATTCTTTTGTGGTTCAAAAACATCGCGAAGGAGCAAAAGGGCGGAACCTGCATTGCAAATTGAGGTGTATGTACACCGCGGAAGAAGTAACTTGAAAAGGGATTTCGCAAGCAAGCAGCTGTTCACTTTTGAGCTTTTTCAAAGGCAAGAGCTGCAGCTAAGGAGGACAAACCCTAAACCCTAAACCCTAAACCCTAAACCCTAGGTCTTCAGCGGCGGCCTCTCGCTGCAGCGCCCAGAAAGCTCACCGAGATGTCGCTGCAGGGGCCCATGATGTCTGCAAAAGAAAAGTGAAAAATAAAAAACAAAAATAAATAAAATAAATTAAAAATAAAATAAATTAAAAACTAAAAACCCTAACTCACCATCCAGCCAAAAGCCAGGACAAGCAACGAGGGTGGCGATGCAGTGGGGGAAGCACAGCGGCTGCGCCATTGCCTCTCGCAAGCCTACGGTTTAGGGTTTAGGGTTTAGGGTTTGGGGTTTAGGGTTTAGGGTTTGGGGTTTAGGGTTTAGCGTTCAGGGCTCAGCAACTGCTGCCAGTGCAAGCTTACCTATGGGCATCCAGCAGTGCGGGAAAAGGCTGGCGCTGAGGGGCAGCGGTTGAGGGTTTAGGGTTTAGGGTTTAGGGTTTAGGGTTTAGGGTTTGGGTGTTTGTGTGAAGTCACCAGTACATGCCGAGGTAGGCCGTGGCGCTGCAGGGAAAAGAAATGAAAATAAAATAAAATGAATAAATGGAATTTAAAAAAGAGATATTTAATTAATTGCAAATAAATAAAAACTTGAAGTTATTTTTTAATTTATTTATTTCTTTTTTTTAATTACCAAACTCTGTACTGCGTCTCCGAAGTCTTCCCCACTTTATTTTGGTACTTCGCAGGAAAACTGAAATCGAAGAGAAAATAAATAAACAAATTTAATTTAAATAAAAGAATTAAAACTTAATAAAGAATTAAAACTTAATTTATTTTTAATTTAATTTAATTGCCTATAAAGAATTAAAACTTAATAAAGAATTAAAACATAATTTATTTTTAATTTAATTTAATTACCTTTAAAGAATTAAAACTTAATAAAGAATTAAAACTTAATTTAAATTTATTTTTAATTTAATTTAATTACCTTCCGATTACTCCCTCCATTACAGAGTCCGTCACATCGGCCGTTGTGAAGTCCGGAATTGTAATTGGGTAAAGGACAGAGCCAAAACAGTTTCTGCCTAAAGTTAAAATTGAAATCTTTTTTTTAATTTAAAAATCTTTTTTTTTAAGTATTTTAAAGCCTTTTCTCCTTTTTTTAAGCTTAAAATTATATTTATTTCAAGTTTTTGCTTCAAAAATGTGCTTATTTCGAGTTTTTAGTTCAAATGCATATTTATTTCAAATTTTTAATTCAAAAATGCATTTTTAGTTTTTTCATTCAAGAATATATTTATTTTAATTTTTAAACTCAAAAATATATTCATTTCAAGTTATATCCCTGCCGCTGCGGTCTGTTGCAGATTTATTTTATTTCCATTTTTAATTCTTTTAAATTAAAATCTTTCTTTTTTGAAATATTTATTCAGGAGAGTTTGCAAGATCAGATATTCTTTTTTCATTTAAAATGTTTTATTTGCTGTTTCATTTCATTTTCTTTTGAATTCGAATTTATCTTTTTCATCTTTTTCCTTTTCCCCCTTAAAGCCATTTTTAAAATTAAATTAAAAACTCGTTTTTGTTTGCTGCGAATTAATGAAAAATATATTTGAAGTTTTTTCCATTTCCCCTTCAATGCGCATTTGAATGCATCTTTTGTTCCATTTCTCGATTGATTCCGGGTTAAATGCGTCAAATTAATTGTGTTTTATTTCATTTTATTTTTTATTTTTATTTATTTATTTTATTTTTATTTATTTCCCTCATTTCCCCTCACAGTTTCAATTTAGGAACCCTTTGTGTGCTCACCGGTCAGCATCGGAAGACACGGCAGCGGCCTGTGCAGATGCGCCATGAGCGTTAGGGTTTGGGGTTTAGGGTTTAGGGTTTAGGGTTTAGGGTTGAGGGTTTAGGGTTTAGGGTTTATAATTAGGGTTTCTCACTGATTTATCCACACAGGAGGGGGAATAAGCGGAGGCACAATGTCGATGACAGTGCCTGCCACGGACTGCACCAGACCCTTGACCATCATGAGCGACATCATGGCTGCCATTTGCAATCCAGGGGCTGAAAAGGAGAAAAAATTGATTTAATTATTTAAAAATAATAAAAATAATTAAAATTAATTGAAAAGAATTCAAATAATTCAAAATGCCCCCCACAAACGCGAAAACTTGAATTTCCCACCCTGAGTTCCCGCAGCCGACTGCACCTTCGCGACCAGCTCGGTCAGCCTGAACAAGAAGCCAGGAGCCAATAAAAAGAGGAAATTGACAATTAAATAAATTATTTAATAAATTATTTAATAAAATAAAACAAATAAAAATTAATTTGAGAGAAATAAACTCCTAATTTGAGCCCTTAGATCATGAAAGCTGCCACACCCCCCGCAGTCCTCATGAGGTCTGCAGTGTCCTGCGTTTCGGCGAACTTGTTGACTTTTTTGCATTTTTCAACTTCTCTTTGAGTTTAATTTGAATTTTTATTTCATTTTTTTGTCATTATTCATCTAATTGCCTTTATTTACTCCCCAATTTCACCTCTTTACCCTCTTTTTTGCATTTATTTCGCCGATTTTGCCCTTCAATTCTTCCAAACTGCAGCTCACCACTTTGTCAAGTCGAAGCCAAATATGCTTCGAAAGGGGCCCCCAGGAAAGGGCGTTTTGGAGGCCTCTGGGGGGGGCCCCCCAGCTTCCCCGGGGTTGCACTGAAGGGTTAGGAAGTTAGGGTTTAGGGTTTGGAAGTTAGGGTTTAGGGTTTGGAAGTTAGGGTTTAGAATCGAGGGTTTTGGGGCTGGAATCGGGGTTTACGTGGGGGTTTTCGTTGTCGACTTTGGCGAGGGTTTGGAGGAACCGCAGGGAAGTCTTTTTGTCCATTACTGAAACAACACTTTTTCAACTTGGCTTCGCTTCAGCGCAGCAAATAAAACCCACCAGAGTCCATCAGCCACTTATAGCCCTTCACGTCGAACTCGCCAAGTGCGGAGTCGTAGAGTTGAAAGAAAACGGCTTTCTGGCGTTCGGAGCCGTCCGTGAGCCGCTCCGCCATTTCTTCGCGGCTCGGCAGCAACTTGAATTTGCGGCTTTCCGCGTCGTAAATCAAATCCGAAGGCAACTCCGGCATCTTTTTTGGAGTCATTTCTGCATTTGCGAGCATTTTAAGCCCGAGATCGCCGAAAAGGAGAAAAAATTCAAAAAAATGCCAAAGTTCCCGCATGTTCAACGAAACGGCCAGCACGCGGGAAAACACTGCCCCCGACGCAACTTAGAGGACTCAGACTGAATATATTCAACTGAATAACTTAATGAAAACTTATTTTAAGTTTTTATTTCAAAAAGTGAAAAAGCGGAGTCTTCCTGAAACGGACGGAGCTGCAGTGACACCTGAAATTGCTGCGCTGCTCACCAGCGGCCGCTGCTTTGCAGATCCGATTTGCAAACCCTAAACCCTAACAAATAAACCCTAAACCCTAACTCATAAACCCTAAACCCTAACTAGCAAAGCCTAAACCCTGAGTTTCCAAACTCTTTCCTTGAGTTTGTTCTGCTTCTAGTTGTCGCTACATGATTGCTGCTTCTGCTGCTGCGTCGGGCTAGTCGGCCAGCAGCTTCATCTCAGCTGAGCTTTCTGAGAAGGAAATTTTGCATATGACTTAAAAATGAAATTAAAAATGAGTTTTTCAGTTTAATTGCACCCCATGTCTCGCGAGAAGGCCCTGATCTCCCCAGCTTTCTGCTTGGTCTCGGGACTTTCAAGATTCATCCTGCGGATCGGAGTACAAGATCTCCCGCAGCTGCCGCCGCTGCGCAGCCGTCCAGTAAGTCCAGCAAACGACCCACCGCGTTTGCTTTCCTTGAAACAAATCAAAGACCCTCAGCTCTCGCGGATGCATCTCAACTTCCCCCCCGTCGGCGCCGCTTCCCCTGCTGCTGCTGCCGCCGCTTCCCCTGCTGCTGCTGCCGCCGCTGCTGCTGCTGCTGCTGCTGCTGCTGCTGCTGCTGCTGCTGCTGCAGTTGGGGTCCTTTTGCTGGCGGTGTTTCTGCAGCCAGCGCTGGGCCTCGGCCTCCATTAGCTGCTCCGTCTGCTTCCCCGCGAGGCGCATTCCTTGCTGGATTTGGCGGCGGAGTTCGTCTCGAGTGGAAGTTCTGGCGACGAGCGAAGTGAACCAGAGAAAGCGGGAGGCGTGGGCCTTGCTTTCGGTGTACATACACCGCAGAAAGGCCCCCTCGCCGCCCTCGCACACCAATTCGTGCGGCTTTCCAGCTTTTTCTCTCCAAGGGCTTTGGCCCACGGACTCTGGACTTGAGTAAAAAGGAGGATTGCAAACACAAGCAGCAAAGAGCCCGTCTTCGGCCCTCAAGACCCCCGCGAAGATCTGCTGCGGCTGCTGCTGCAGCCGCAGCTGTACGTACACCTCAAGCCCGTTCGCCCGCAGGTTTGCTGCTGCTGCTGCCAACGACTCTTCAGATATATCCGACCCCACAAAACGCCACCCGAAGTCCGCAAAACCCAACAGAGGGTACACGCAGTTCGCCCCCACCCCCACGTCCAAAATCCTCACGCCGCCCCCTCGCGGGGGCCCCACGTACCCCTCAGGGGCCCCCCCGGGGGCCCCCCCGGGGGCCCCTGAGGGGGCCCCTGAGGGGGCCCCCGGGGGGGCCCCTGAGGGGGCCGCTTGGGGGGGCCCCTGGGGGGCCCCGAGGGAACTGCCCTGCGGGGGCCCCTGTGGGGCCCCTTGCGGGGCCCCCTGGGGACTTTCCTGGGGGGGCCCCCCGGCGCCTGCGGCGCGTGCGGGGCACCCCTGGGGGCCCCCCTGGGGGCCCCTCTGGGGGCCCCCCTGGGGGCCCCCGTGGGCGGGGGGCCCCCTGAGGAGGAACTGCTGGCCGCCGGGAATGGGGGGCCCCCGGGGGGCCCCCAGCCCCTCCTGAGGAGACAACAAGTCGGCCAAGAAGTGAAGATAATTGCTGCGGTTTGGAAGAGTTGGAATTAAGAAGTTTTGGTTGGGAGGGAGCGAGAAGGCCAAGCTGTACATACACCTGAAGAGCGCGGCGCAGAGGGCCAGCTGGGCCTGTTTGGACTTGAAGTCAAAAAAGGATTTTCCGGAAGAAGAAAAAGAAATGAAAGGAGACAGACTGGGGGCCCTTTTGGCCAGCGCCGAGAAGTCCAGGGGGCCCCCGAAGAAGCGAGAACGCGGGTGCATCCGCTCGTTGTTGCTGCTGCTGCTGCTGCTGCTGCTGCTGCTGCTGCTGCTGCTGCGGAGGGGCCCGCGCGCCTCTGGAGCCGCTCGGCGCCGCTTGGACCTTCCCGGTGCTGCGCCTGCTGCTGCTTCCCAGAACGCGTCTTCTGCCGTGTCTGCTGCTGCTGCTGCTGCTGCTGCTGCTGCTGCTGCTGTGGGGCCCCCGCGGCGCTTCCAGCGGCCTCTGGGAGGCCCCACAAATGGACTAGCTGCTGCTTCTCCAGCAGCAGCAGCTGCTGCTGCTGCACCGCCATTTGCTGCCCCGCCTGGCTCGCCCACAGCAGCAGCAGCAGCGGCTGCTGCTGCTGCTTCATGTCCATCTGCTGCAGAGTCTTCCAC